TGGGGTTTATGGCACAACTATCAGGGTGTCTGGCCATCCCATCACCAGAGAACAAGGAATAGGAAACCATGGTAAATGAAGACCACATGAGAAGGTGAGAAGGGGAGGAAGCAGAGAGCTAGGGAGGCCCACGGAGATCCACAAAGATACCCCCGCAAAAGACTGCTGGCAATGGTCGCGAGATGGCAGGAACTGGCACAATGCCTTTAATCCCAGCACTCAGGAGGCAGAGGCAGGTGGATCTTTGTGAGTTCAAGGCCAGCCTGGTCTACAGAGCGGGATCCAGGAAAGGCACAAAGCTACACAGAGAAACCCTGTCTTGAAAAAAACAAAAAAAGAAAAAAAAATTATGGCTTAATTTAGGTGTAAGAGCTAGTCAATAATAAGCCTGTGTTAATGGCCACACAGTTCATAATTAATATAAGCCTCTGTGTGTTTAGTGGGGTCTGAACAGCTGCAGACCAGGCAGGACCAGGGAAACTTTCCAGCTACACCAAGCATAGCTGCTATGGGTATGACTGTACATTCAATTTACAGTCATCAGAGATATAAATTTTAAGACCATGAGGGACAAGAGAGAATTTAAAGCCAGGGCTCACATCAGGATCACATGGACAAGTTATGCAAGTGGGAAACAAATAAAAGGGACAATAATTAATTAATATAAGCTGTCATGTATCAAATACGTAAGTTGTATCTTTAGGAAAAGAGCAAAAAAGAGGTGTTTTATTGAGGCCTGGAGTTGCAGTTCGTTGGTGAATTGCTTGTCCACCATACCTATGTAGATCACTGCCTTTGATCCCAGAAACATGACAACAAGTGAAAAGCGGGAAAAGTTACACTTATGAAAAACTGAATAACCCATTCATAAACAGTAACTAAAATGAGCCTCAGTGTAGCACATTACAGATGCTGTGGAAATAACCACAAACTTCATAACATAAAAAGTGAGATTTTATTTCAGGTAAAACTTATCTCTTCCTCTAGATAACTGCATTAATGTATCACAGTAAGAAAAAGCATGAAGATGTTTGCTGAAGGATTTTTTTTTTCTTTAGCGTCTCACTTAGAAATGGGTTTTACAGAAAGAAGCCATATGAGGACCCTCAACCTGAGCATCACATATTGAGGTAAGGGCACTACAGGGCTCTATTTTCCTAAACATGAGAAAGAAGTTAGTAAATGAAATCTGTAATATCACAATGTGGAACAGCCCTGTTCGATGTGTTAAGTCATAAGATATTAATCACAAACAACCCAGGGGTAGTAATTAGAGCTTTAGCTGTAAAAAATGCTTTGATTATAGAAACCAATTATCAACTATTCCCAGTTAGTTATCTATATGGAAATAGCAACAGAAATTGGAAGAACCATCAAAAATGATAAGGAAAATTGTAGAGATTATGGGCAAAGCATGCTTATGCTTACAGTGGGAAATTGACCATTTGCTTTCCATTTACCTAAATCTCTAAAGTCTGTGCAATACACATTTAGTGTATAAGATAGTGTACATAAGTGTGGGTGTGTGCACACACACATCTGTGTTTATGTCATGAAAATGGTCTCTAATTGTACAGAAAAAGATCAATTGGGCTTACAGGCATTGGGCATATTGTTTGTTCAGATGAATCACAGCCACAGCTCCAACCTGGATGCATTTAGAGAAATAAAACTAAAGCCACAATTTATCTGAACATTCAGCTGATAAAGACACATGGCTCCAGGATGATCTACCTCAGTGACTTTTTTCCAAGTTGATATCCCTACTCATGGAGGGATAGGATGACTGAGAAAGGTTGAGAAAGCTAAGTAAATCTAAAGGCTCATTTAAAAAAGAAAGATGAAAAATAACTTAAGGGCATACAGCTCAGAAGAATGACAAATTTGATATGGAGAAATCATGAGAAGCATCTAAAAGTTAGTGTTTTAGTTAGGCTCAGGGACACAAACCTGAAGAAATAATAATAAAAAAAATACAGCCCTTTCCATCCAAAGTATTCAGTTCTTCATCAATAGCAAAAGTTTTAGGAGAACCGAGGGAAAGCCAAGGACAAGGAGAATACCTCAGATTTCTAACATGGGAAGGTGTGATTGAATCAGTCCATGAAAGAAAGTCTTTTGGAAATGAGCAATGATATCTCAAGGGGGATACCGAACAATCGGAGGAAGACAGCAGGTTGCAGCTGGTAGAGATGGAATGTCAGATGCAGGTGTGAATGTCAGTAGAGTAAGCCTACAGTGGGTTCAGTGACTATGGAGGGAGTCTCCGTAGGTGCAGAGGGAGCTGGTGTGGACCTGCAGGGCCACTGTCCACCAAGTGGGTTCAGGCTCTTTCTTCTCCAAATTAGACAAGTTAGCACATCACTGCTTTGTAGTTATTAATGATTTAGCTGTCTCTGTTGGCTGTTTTGATAAACTGGCTAATATATGTGCAACAAATGACTGGCCAAAAGTAGAAGTCATCCCCTGTAGAGACCTTGCCATCTCTGGGGACCCTGTAGACAACTGTGACCTCAAGCTAGAAATCCAACACAGGAAGAGTGTCACAAAGACTGACACGTATGAGCACAAGCTGCTTATCACTCCGTGAAGCAGTGTTCCAGGTAAAACTGTTTTAGAATAAAAATTGTTCACCTATGTCTCTTGAAAGATGCCTAAAACTCTGTGTAAAAGGTATCATTTGGGTCAATTTGTGTGTGTGTGTGTGTGTGTGTGTGTGTGTGTGTGTGTGTGTGTG